AGCCACCTGCACCCACATACTGTATATGCACATACTGTACAATACAGTGAGATTTACGGTCGTATAGGTGTATGTGTGGAATGTGGACCCGACTGGTCCGACCAGACTGGGCTCAAATATCACTGCTTCTTTAACATGAGACATTTGATAACGTCTCTTTTCACACCAATTAGGATGCAGGGGGAATTTTACTTTATACTTTTTATACATTACGTTTTATTGTTGTTTGTTCAAGCTATGGGTCGAGAAAAGAGTTTTCTGTAACGTGATACCGCGTCGCGCCCTGTTTGCCTGGAAGCAGAAGTGGCTGCAGCAGTGAATGAGCTGTGGGAAAACTCAGAGAGACTCGTCTCATATCCACTGGAATCACTCTGCATCGTTTCCCATCGTCGCCCATCTTCTTCGCATAACTTCCACCTTTGTAGAATCGGATACTTCGCCGTCTGTCCCCGCCGCTCCGTCACCCTAATAGGGTCTTCAGGGGTCCACTGACAGCCTCCGTCCCTGCTCCTCCGTCTGTCCCTCACAACACTTTACCTCCCCTGTCTTTCTCCTCCTCAGCTCTATCTGATGTAATTACCTGATTATAGCTGTCTTTGTCACTCACCCACCCTCTCTCACCCTCTCTCACCCTCTCTCACCCTCTCTCACCCTCTTCTTGCTTTCCCTTCCTGCGTCTCCGTGTCCCCGCTTTGAAGGTCAGAGTTCAGCCCAGATAGCCAGGTACCATCAGGGGCCATTATATGTCTGATGACAGCAGAGGGGGGGGGGGCGCTGTCCTCCTTAGGTTTCCTACATTACAGGGAAACAGATCCTGATAATTCTACTAAAAAAAAAAAAAAAAAAAAAAGGATTATTCTGAAGAGAGAAGGGTCATTACCTGGTTCCAGGCACTGTTGTTGACGACTGTAAGCTGAAACACAGTACGGATAATACAGCAGGGGCACCTATATTACAGATAATACCACAGTCATCAAGGACATCTCCATGTGCATTAGTGAAGGAATTTAAATGAGGAAATCCAGGAAACTGGACATAACTTCTGGACTGGAGACACATGTCTTTGGTGAAGAATGTGCCACACAAGCCGACTGCCACGGTGGAATCTGTAGAATTATATCTTATTATTATCTTATATAAATTATATATATATATATATATAAATGAATATTAGTGCACAGCGACATAGATGAGCAAAATCAAGGCTTTTAGACATCGCAAAGACGCCGGTTCATTATTGGGATGAATCTATATTCAACAGCTCAGTCAAATACAAATATAAATACCAATACTTGATCCCAGATACCTCCACATGTGGCAAAATCTGAAGGCACCAGGTCTGACTTGATCATGACTTTCCTAACTTGCAAAAACCATATGTAACAATAAAAAGATAGAAATCCTCACATAGTTGTTTAATATTGTATTTAAGTAAATAATTCAACCACAGAAAACAGCATCGAAAATAAAGAGGAATCAAATCAAAAAGTCTCTGTAACCATAAAGTGCAGGAAACGTAAAATGAAATGAACATGAACATTTAAAATAAACATTTAATAGACATAATAAATCATACCTAGTTCAATCAAATTGACGAAATTAAGCAAAACGTTTTTTAAAAGCTTTTAGTCCGACTAAACTGTCGACAGTTTGTTGAATATTATTATTATTCGTGTGAATATATTGTGCTAAAATCACAATCTTTGCTATTATTTTTCTTACGCTAAACGAGTGTAACAATTCTTAAATTTAAATTTTAATGTTTTTTTACATATTTTATAGCATTGTAGCCTAAATTCTGAAATGTACTGTGTACAAAAACATTCCTAAAGTCTGAAATGTACTGTGTACAAAAACATTACGTCGCACCGTTAAAAAGTACATATAGAAAATACTAGACATTTTTCAGGTACTTTTAATGGGACTAATGCGACGCTGGAGTGGACTACCTGCTCCGTTTCATCTGATCTTTTTGGTTTTACCGACAGTCGTGGGCCGTGACGTGGAATGTTTCATCCATGAGTTCACTTTCTCCGTACACGTTCTTCCTCTCTTTGTTCGTATGGACCCTTATCTCGCTCCTTCCTCCCCTCGTAACCCCCTCTTTTTTTATCTACCGTCCTCTCCCTTCTCTCCAAATATGGCCAATTACTGAGCGGCTCGAAGCTGCTCTCCCCGAGGAGCCGTATAAACGGGGCTTTGTTTATAGACAGAGAAGTTCTTTTTCCTAAACCACAGTTTTAAAGGGATGTTGCACTGACGTTGGCTCTAGTAATTCTTATAATAAATATATATAAAAAAATTAAATTTAATGTCCTCCAAGTGAGTCGTTTCAACTTTGAAATTGTTAAATGTCGATATATATTGGAATAAAACAAAATCTTTGTTTTAGGTGAACACTGTGAGCTGAATGCATCTTCAGGCCGCTGCGTTCCAGGTGTGTGCAGAAACGGAGGCATGTGTGTCAACCGACCGTCGGGTGGGTTCATGTGCCAGTGTCCACCGGGGGAGTACGAGAAGCCCTACTGTGAGATGACCACCCGCAGCTTCCCCGGTCAGTCCTTCATCACCTTCAGAGGCCTGAGGCAGAGGTTCCACTTCACCGTCTCCTTCATGTGAGTTCTTCCTTCTTCCTCTGCGCCTTTTCATTCCCTCCATATTTGTTTGTTTCTTCTTCATCGGTGATGAAACCACAGACTGTCAAATGGGTCCTTTTTAATAACTGAGATTGGATTAAGCTCAAGACATCGACAAGTGATTGCACCTGTCACTCTCTTCACTTCTCCTCATGTTGCACAACCATCGCTGAAAAGGTTCTGTCATCATAGACAGTAACGAGAATGGAGAACGTTTGTTGCTGGAAAAAAAACATTTGGTGTAAAATAATAATAAAACAATTAGACATTTATTATTATTTATTCATATTTAACGAAATATAATTTTACCGAAAATATCACATTTGTAAGTATTTTTGAAATTTGTTTTTATTTCCAAAATGTATCAAGCAGGCCGGGCTGAACACACTAGCGGGCCGGTTATGGCCTGCGGACCCTATGTTTGACACCCCTGTTATAGAATAACACCTCCTGGCTGTAAATCACCTTAGTGGTAGTTTTTGGTATTGCGACCTCACACATACATTACAATACATTTAGTCACACACACACACAGCAGTTCAGCTGTGTGTGTGTGTGACTAAATGTATTGTAACGTAATCTAAAAATTAACGAAGCGCGAAAGAATTGCACAAATGAACGCGGCCCAGTTAGTGAAGTGTGCGTCAGCTGCCATACGCCCAAACGAGTACGAACTTTTCTATCGTATCTGTCACTAAATGTGACTTTGTGCAGAACAAATAAGGTAAATTGTCCGAGTCGCTGTTGAACATGTCAGAGTGAGAAAGGTTTCATTGTGCGGTGAAAACAGGAAAGGCTGTGATGAGTTTCCCTTATCGGTGTTTGGCTACAGCCGCTCCTGACTTCCTGTCCTGACGGCCTCGCTGGCATCTGCCGGCTGACTCCTCTGCCCCTCACCTTGTTCTGCTAACACACTAACACACCGACAGCCTCTGTGTGTGAACTTTGTGCCCTCGCAGAACAAAGGTACCACACCGTACCTTTCTTCTCTTTCTCCCACATGAACGACACGTCCATGCATCGTCCAAGGCAGAGGAACTGTTTCCTGTCTGCGCCGCCACCAGCGTTACACATCCTTCCTCTTCTTTCCGGGCGACTTTTCCTCAAAAGTTCCTGAAGTTCTTTTCATGTCACAGCGTCTGTATCTTCAGGGCACTTCAGCGCTCGGTGACGGTCTGTTTGACTTGGAGATTCAACAGGAAACGCGAGCTTTAGAAAAGGAAAACAAATGGAATTCATGGTGTTGGTTTAACGGGTGCAAGTTCAACATGGGCTGTTGACGCTGTGGGCTGAGATGAAAAGATAAATAACCAAGAAATGTTAATGTTTGCAGGTTTGCAACCCGAGAAAGAAACGCCCTGCTCCTGTACAACGGCAGGTTCAACGAGAAACACGACTTCATCGCCCTGGAAATCATTGATGAGCAGATCCAGCTGACCTTCTCTGGAGGTTAGGCCTCATCATGAGTATCCGTGTGTGTCTTTTGTGTCACCGTGCACCAAGTTTGAGTTTGAACATGTTTGTGTGTGTGTGTGTGTTTGTGTAGTTTCTCCACATGTAGGTGAGGAATGGGTGTGTTACTATTTTGAAAGCAGTTGCTTCCACAGAGTATGAGCTGTCGCACTGATTTATGGTGGCCAGTACACACACTCTCACTCATGAAAATATATATATAAAAAAGTAAATATACATACATATATTCATGATGAACATAAACCATGACCAATCACAATCAGCCGTCGTTGTTTCCATTGTCTCTCTCTTTTACTCTTCACAAAAGTAACAACAAGTCCATTAGAACTTTAACTAGAACTCATTACTAAAACGATCACCAGAAATTAAAGTATTATGAATAACTTGCTTCTACCCTGCAACCCAAACCTGCAACTGAAACTCAAACAAAAAATAATAATTATGCACCACAACAACAAACCAAAATAAAAACATTACAACATTCTCCAAATATTAACCCTAAACTTGTGTTCTGTGACTGTAAAAAGACAGCACAACTGCAGATGAAGACACCACCATACACTCCTAGTGATCTGTAAAAATTCACAGAGAGTGAATTCACAAACAGAATCTCATAACTGTTAGATTAGAGATCAAACACATATTTATTTATTTACTGCGCTGCTGACGGTTTGTTTTCAAAGTCGGTCCACTTTCCCATGGTTCCTGACACCAAGAAATCCAGTTTAATATAATTAGGTTGGGTGAAGCCAGTCCAGGACCGAGGCCAAGTCCTTGTGCCGAGTCTGGAACAGGACTAAATACCAACGGCATGAATCATTACATCAGACACCTGGTTATAAGTGAAGGAAAACAGTGTTTTCATTTCAATCTTCAGCTTTGTTTTGGTTATGTTTAGAACTCATTAACTTATTAACACCAACAGAGTTTTTTGTTGTTGTTGTTGTCATTGTTATTGTATGGTTATTGTATTAGTGATTTGTAGAGCTGTAGATTCCTGCTCAGGTCGCTCCTGCCCTTGACAAACAGACTAATCCCCCCCCCCCGTGTCGGTTGTTCCTTCGTTCTTCCACGGTTTCCTCAATGAGAGCCATTGATGCCGCGGACGAACACCGGTTTCCCTAACACTTGATTTATGACCCAGTGTGTGTGTTAGAGAATATTAATCTACAGATGTCAGATTCAGATATGCAGAGAGTCATTTATTAACAACCGACGTAAAATGAGTTTGCGTTCATTGTAGGAGCTTACTCATAAATATATATGTATATTTCAATATATATTTGGATAAACTTTTCATTGTAGGAGCTTAGTTACAGTTAAATATATATATATATTTCAATATATATTTGGATAAACTTGACTCAGCTCAACACATTGTATTTCTGCAGTTATGGCCTTTTTTTTTTCTTTTTTTTTTAAATGTGACCAGCAGTTAATTGTTTGCTAACAAATGTCAGTTTGTCTTTCTTCAAACTACAGACAGACACTGAGTCTTTGTTCTGTTTTGTTTTTTTCACCGGTTAATGAAAGTAAAAATAAGGAGTTGAACAAAACAGGTCTGATCTGATCTGGCTCCGTGTCAATCACATATCATTTCTGTTGTAATGATTACGTAAGAATGTTGTGTGTGTAACTCTTTGAGTCACGTGTTACCGACTCACAGACGGACTGTTTTATTTATTTTGATCTGTTCCTCCTTCTCCTTATTCACTCCGTACGCCTCTTGTCTTTTTTTGTGGCTCAGGTGAGACAAAGACCACAGTGTCTCCCTTCATCCCTGGTGGAGTCAGCGACGGCCAGTGGCACTCTGTTCAGCTCCATTACTACAACAAGGTAAGAAACTTAAACTAAAACCCGCCCATTGGCTGCGGCCTCTACGGCCTGTTTTATCTCCATTTCACAGAATGGAGAAAAATATTTTAGATGCAGGAAAAAAAAAAGTTGCATTGCCCTTTAAGAGTGCAGCTCGAACTGAAGCAGCGATGAACATGTGAATGGTGTTTTTTTTCCAAAGCACTTGACCTTGACGCCTGATTTTTATCTCAAAGCTCTGACTGGTGACATTTACCCTGCCAGGGTTCACTGCATAAGCCTGGACTCAGGGGCAAAGGTCAAAAGTTCATGAGACTGACAGCTGACAGCACACGGGTGTTTTTGTGTCTTGTCGTCCGCTGGTTTAACCACCGACCTGGTGATTTTTCTGCTACGTCAGGACACCTCACATTTTAATTTTTTTAATTATTTTTCCTGAGACGTTCCCACGCAGCTCCGATCTCCAAAAAGAGGCAGCGATTATTTGGCGGCTCGGCTCATGTGACCACTTTAGTTGTAACATCATATTTGAGGAGCTGACACGGCTTTCACCGGTCGGTGTTGTTTTCTAACAAACTTCCACAGCCTCCGGGCAATGCTTTCTTAAAACATTAAACCCGACAGGAAATAAGATAACGCTGACCTCCTGAGCAAGTACTGCACAGTAGTAGTACAGTACTACAGTACATCCTGTACATCCTATAGTTTTTCTAATTTCCTCATAGTTTTTTTTATTGTTTTTTGCCCCTTTTGTGTATATTATTCTACCACACACTTCCAACAAAATGCTTCTCAGACGACATATTATTTTCATATGTTCAAGCTTCTTAAAGTTAGTGTTCTCACAGGTTTGTGGCCTAGCAAGGTTGAAAGTTTAAAACAACTGTACATGCCATAGGCACAATCCTACAATAGTTCTGCCTCCCCTTGCAGGGGCCTGCCCCTTACTTTGAGAACCGCAGGCTTAGCAAGGTTAAAGTTTGAAACAACTGTACATGCCATAGGCACAATTTCTTTTTCTTCTTATGTTATAGACGTGTTTGTTGGCAATATTCTGGTGATAGTATATGTATCGCGATACGTATTCGTACGATATATTGCGATATATAAGACACAATGCTGTTCCGTCCGAACATTAGGCTATGAAAATTGGAACACAGGGATCTACATTTGTATTCACTAGAGAAGAAAAAATAAAAATGAAATGAAATTTCAAAAAGATTAATGCAGTGCTGTAGAATATCGATATGATATCGTTAAGTGAAGTATCGTGAGAAGTATCGCAACCCTATTACATTAGTATGTCTTCTCGATTAATGCAGTGCTGTAGAATTTGGATATGATATTGTGAAATCAAATATTGGGAAATTTTATTGTGTATCAATGTTTTCTTGCAACCCTATTACATTAGTATGTCTTCTTAAAATGAGTCTTCTCACAACGCTGTAGCGCCCTGCACAAGTTCTGCCCCCATTATGGGGGCCCGCCCCACACTTTGAGAACCACTGGCTTCACACCAAAACCTAAAAGCTGATAAATCATGTAAGAGATGACCAATATCCTTCTCGTGTTGTAGCGTCATAGAGATGTTCACAGACGCTCACAGGTTTGAATATGCTATGCTATGATGACAGGAGGGAAACCTGACCCTCCTGATGTCACCTTTGTCCTCACATCTCTCCTTCTGGACATCTGTCCTTCAACTGTCCGTCGCTGGGAGCTGCATTCTCGCTGTCTCGACCTCAGACATCCATCATAGCATAGTCCGCTGCAGCCTCGGCGTGTTAAAAGGAATACCTCGACTTTTTTTTTTAGCCTGCTGTGGGCAGCGTCTCCCATTTCACATGTTGTTTTGCCTCCGTCCTGTGTACGGCCGTACATCACAGGGGATGAGAGAGAGGCGACGCTGTCCCCCGTGTTGGCTGCAGGGTTACACCTGTATCTATTGTCTGGGTGTGAATGTCTCGCTGTGTTCGACCACTGCGTTCATGATGATGTCACAGACAACGGTTGAACCCTGTGTGGACAACACTGTGTTTGTCTCTTGACAGCCACAGATACTGGACGAGGTGTGTTTGGAAAATACCCCGGCCTTTTGTTTTTTTAAGATTTTTCTGTGTCGTAACAGAGCGACACACGTGACATCTGCACCAGCAGGGTCACATGGTTCTGTAGTTTACAAATATAATGTGACCCTGTGCCTTGTGCGGTGTGCGTTTCTCCGATGTCCTTCTCAGTTCACGCCCGTCATTGGCGGAGCAGGTGACACATTCCCTTTAAATTAACCCCCGAGGCCCAGTGCAGCACTGGTCCAGGGTCAGCTTTTCTTCACTTGTTGACTGATCAGAAGTCAGATTGACTGATGGTAATCGAGCAGTTGCCCCAGGGCATCAGTGGAAACGTATATGGCAGAAAGAGGTAATGTTCTCACAGTAGATTTGAGGTGTTGACGTGTGAATATATGGACCAGGACGCAGACACAGACCTTACTCTGCCGCACGTGAAACACAAACAGGCTGAAGTTTGTCATTAAGACACGACGCCTGGAGAGACTGGAGATCAATTCTTCACCTGTGATGTCATCTGAGTTTATGTCCTTTTGAACACAAACACACGGAAATCACACACACACATTTAACATGCTGTGATCTGTGGACATTTTGGACAAGTTTTTATGATTAATAACCAGCTGCACCTTGTATCATAAACAGTATAGTGTTGCTTGTGACAAATGCATGACAAGTTTGCTTAAAATTTTTCTTTTTTTTTTCTTCTAAACGAAGCTCTGAACGTCTTCATCTGTTGCCACAACAGACTGTTAAATGACAGACAGATTCACAAACACAAATTGAAAGAAAATTTCAAAAATAATTATATTGAAAATGACACCGTAAGTAGATACTTTTAAAACATTTTTTTTTAATTTGGTGTTCTTAAATGGTGGGTCGTGGCCCAAACATAGGTCATTGCTGTTGAATTGTATAAATACTGCCCTGTTTTAAAACACCGTTCTTCCCTGTTTACTTTCTTTCTTCTTTTTTTTTATTAAATATCACTTCTCCTTTTTTTTAACCTCTATTAGTAGAATTTGGTAAATTTCCTTTAGTCTTTAAGTGAGTTGCAACAATGAAATCAACTTAAGGGGGAAGCGAGGAGGTTATTCGTCCGCGTTAGCGTCCACTCGTCCCATCTTTTCAGTTCACACGCTGACGCCCACAGTGATTCACAGATGGTGATTTACTGGGTCAGATGATGAGGCGGTTTATGTGGTACCAACTTGTACAAGTGTCCCAGTGAAACTCTACTGTTCTCCTTGTAAACTCCCCCCCCACAACAAAACAAAAAAATACAGGTCAAAGGTCAGGGGGGAGGGTTGGCATGACAACAGACATGAACTTTGTCATTGTCATTGTTGTGGTGATCTGGGTCGTTTGGAAGGTGGTGAATGCATGTTTAGCATCTGTGGGGGAGAGGAGGGGGGGGCCCAGATAAAGACATACTCAATGTGTGTGTGTGTGTGTGTGTGTGTGTGTGTGTGTTGTGTTTTGGACGTGTGCTTATATCCCTGCCATGGTTGGGAATGTTGCTGAACAAAACAGGGAACGTTGAGAGATTTTTAAAATTCCAAGGTGTAACATTCAAGGACCCTTAACTGTGTCACTGTGTCAGTGTGGCCGCTCTACACAGGAAACACACACACACACACACACACAGAGAGAGAGAGATAAGGCCCAAAGACAGGCTGGCGTGGAGCGGCAGGAGGCTTTGTCTTTCACTATTGATGTGCGTAGTGACAGGAAACAAATGTTGTTGGTCACAGGAAATGATGTTATTTGGCCCACCAGTGGACAGGAAGTGTGATGTATCAGGACTGTGTTTGCTGCCACACCTGCATGGACTACACCCAGATCAGAAGAGCTTTCGGTTTTTTCATAATTTCTTACAAACAAAATAAAGAGATTGAATAAAGAGATGCAGATTAGATTAGATTAAAAGTGGAGTTGTGTTGTGTTGTGTATTGGATTATCTGTGAAGATTCAAAGATGTCTGAATATGATGCCACATGGAGAAATGTCATTGCATTCATTAACAAATTGGACATCTGTTCATTATCACAATCCCGTCTGCCTTTGATTGACTCTGTCACCAGGGTCAAACAAAAACAACCATCCACTGTCACACCCGCGTTGGCTGGACTCCCAACTCTGGCTGAGTCACCAACAGCAAACTATTAGCCTCAGCTTTAAATAAGTAGTTCCATTACTCTTCATGTGATTCAGACCCGTGTTGTCAGTTTCAGCCCAGGCAGACTGTGAGTTAGCCAAAGCCCTGTGTTAATACTGTGACACCGTGGAGTATGGAGCTGTGATATTTACAGCCAGCGGTGTGTGCACCACATTCCCAGACGGGCTCTTATCACCCGCGGTAACCAGGAGTTCACCCTCTCTGCCGGGGCAGTTTCTTCGCAGCTCTCACGCCGGGGCTATTTGGATAGCAGCAATTTAATCGTAAGAACGCACGTGCGAATTGCCTCTCAGCAGAGCTCCAAGTGCTCCGCGGAATATGTCATGCATGTAGTTGAACATTCCTCCTGTGATGAACGCCGACGGGAACCGAGCCACTCAGCAGAATCTGGGAGCCTGTAGCAACTGCTGTTCTCCTAAAACGATCATGGTTTCAGACACTTAGATCAGACACTGATCTGACTGTGAAGTTCACGGATCTGCAGATTAGTGGGTGACGGGGTTGAAATGAGGCCGTGACGTCAGCAGTAGGTCACACAGGGAAGTGGCTTGGTTGTGGGGCTGCATGTCTAACGCGGTGTGTGTGTCTCCCTCTCCCAGGACGGGGGGAGTCTGATGGACTCCAGTGGGGCTCTGCTGCTCCCGCTCTTTACTGCCTGGCTGGAGCTCAATCAGAAGGAGGTAACCTCTGACCTCTAGCCTAGTCCCCACTGGTGTCTTTTTATTTTTTCTCTTGGGCTCCTATTTAGTCCTTGTTCTGCTTCTGGTCTGCTGGAC